CTCACAGGAGTTAAGGGCAACGAAGGCAGGGCGGGACCAAGCACTGCTGTGATGTGAAGCACAGGCCAGGTGCTGTGAGTGTAGAACTAGTGTCTCTCACTCAGTAGGTAGGCACTGTGGAAGAAGTAGTATCTCCCACTCAGTAGGTAGGCACTGTGGAAGAACTAGTATCTCCCACTCAGTAGGTAGGCACTGTGGAAGAACTAGTATCTCCCACTCAGTAGGTAGGCACTGTGGAAGAAGTAGAGCAAAGAGCAGGGATGGTGTGTCAAAGTGAAAAAGCGATATATGTAAAGTAATGAAAGCATCTTTGGTTATTTGAGGCGATCAGTGTCCAGCATGACTGAAAATAGATACTAGTTAGATATAAATTTAACATGAAACCCAAAATCTAAAGTTGGACTGAGAGAGAGTGGGGGGGGAGGAAAGGAAGGAAGGAAGGAAGGAAGGAAGGAAGGAAGGAAGGAAGGAAAGAAGGAAGGAAGGAAGGAAGGAAGGAAGGAAGGAAGGAAGGAAGGAAGGAAGGAAGGAAGGAAGGAAGGGAGGGAGGGAGGAAGGAAGAAAGGAAGAAATGAAGAAAAGAAAGGTAACGTACGTCACCAAGGATACAAACTTTATAGCATGGGTATCTGGAAAGAGGGCTATGATCTAACCTTGATCAATCTAGATGCCTTCAACCAATGATGCTGGGAACCCATTGGAGCAAGATACAGTCAGAATTGGTAAGTGAAATCCCAGGCCTTTCAGGAGCGACAGGCCACTAAATTAAAAAGAGCAAAACCTAAACCGGGAAATGTAGAGTGGGACAGCTGTGTGATCACAGTCTTTATGAGTTGCTATTTTTTCATTTCACGTGTGCAGCCTGTGCATGTGCACACATGTGTTTTACACATGCACTGTTCACGTGTGCCCATGCATGGGAGGAGGTCATGTGTAGAGGCCAGTGTAAACAATGGGTGTCTTTGCTGTTCTCCACTTTTTTTTTTTCTGAGATAGGGTTTCTCACTTTACCTAGAGCTGCCATTTGGCTAGACTGGTTTGCCAGCAACCCTCCAGGAAAGACCTATCTCTGACCTTCCCAAGCCTGTGCCAGGAATCTGAACTTACGTCCTCAGGCTTGGACGGCAGACACTTCACCCACTAAGCCATCTCCCCAGTCCTGATCATGAATTTTTAGTTGGGTTACTGTCAGAAGAGAGTTTCAATGCAAAAGCGGTAGTTTCTGCCACAGTAAATCTAGCAGAGATGAGACAGAGAGCTCGGTGATGCACCTCGAGACCATTCGGGCCTACCTGCAGAGCTTGTTTTAGAGTGGGTCCTGTATGGTTGTGCTCTTCCTGCTCCAGCCTCCTCTGCATTCAATGCCACTAAGACCGTAAGCTACTGTGACACGGAAAATTCTCATCTTTAACTTCTCAGCCAGCCCAGTAGAGGCAGCATATTACCTCCTCCCAGAACTCTTCCCCTCCACATACAGTCTATACTAATTAATTCTTCAAACCCCCCCCCCATTTTTTTAATTTGAAGGACTTAAGAAAGCCAGCCTCTTTTTTTTTCCCCAAGACAGGGCTTCTCTGTGTAGCCTTGGCTGTCCAAGACTCACTTCGTAGACCAGGCTGGCCTCGAATTCACAGAGATCCGCCTGCCTCTGCTCCCTGAGTACTGGGATTACAGCCAGCCTTCTGAGAGCAGACTCTGGGATGATATACTGACCACAAGCTTTCTGAAAATGTAAGGTAAAGATTATGGCTTCAGAAAAAAAGGAAATGCAGTGAGTCTTCAAGATTATCACATAATTGACCTTCTACTAAAATACACTGAGTAGAAACAACTTGCAAACAAACAAACAAATAACAGCCATCTGTCATCTTGTAATCCCAACACTTAGGAGTCTGAAGCAGGAAGAGCTTACAACCATATAAGACTCTAAAACAAGCTCTGCAGGTAGGCCCGAAAGGTCTCAAGTTGCATCACTGATAGCTTTATAATCGATAACAAAGGTATACACAGTGTCAAAATGACTATTTCTTTATTAGGAGTTTGGGTTGGTTAAAGCTAACTAGCTTCCTATCTTTATCACTCATTCAATGAGGAAATGTTTTAGCACCCTCTGCTGGCCACTTGTTACATGTTGTCTCCTAACAGTGCTTTCTCTAAGATACAGGTGTTCCTAGTTAGATGATGGCTACAGCACAGGTCTCCTAAAATTCCTTCCTAGGAGTCACTATAACAAGAGGGGAAGGGGTGTCCTGGGGTGCCCTCCTGAAAGAGTTTATGCTTGATTTCCACCTGTCTAACACCCATTCTGGATGGCTTCTAATTTGCATCCACCACAAATACTCAAGCATAAGTGTCATTTCTGCAGTCAGAGACAAGTCCATGGGCTGGGCCCACACCACCCTCCTGCCCACCTGCTTCATCAACAGCACTCGACTGGGAGGTAGCATCTGGAGACACCAGCTCATCTACCATTTGTGCAAACAGAAGTCATAACAAAAAACAAGCAAACAAACAAAAGCAAAGGAATTTGGGCCTGGAACAAGAACAGAATTGCCATCAAATTCTGAATGACCCTAAGCAAACTTTTGCTATTTTCTACTGTGTACTATGTATGCAAAGCAGTATTCTAAGAATTGGTAACTATAAAATGAGACTATCAACCAACTCTGAAAACTACTGAAAATGCTCTAGCTTCTATAGATCAAAAATTCAGCCTAAATATAATTCTTCATATAAAACAAACAAGCATATCAATTTCCTTAGTATGTAAACTTGCTTTCATCTTAATGCTAAAATTACATGTAAACTAAAAATTGCTTTAAAATAAATTTCTTTCTGTTCTATTACCAGTAAATGTTTAATTTGTATACCTATATATCTGGGTTTATGTAAAAATTTCTCAAGCAAAGCAGTCATGAGGAGAAACAGTTAAGTTTTAGTATAACGAAGAGGAGGCTCCGGCTCCTGAACAGAATCAAACACTAGCAGCTGTGGACCCTTTAAGTTCTCAATGTCTCACTTATTTTCTTTCAGGAAGCAGAGAAAAATCAAAAGTCGTTGTTCAACAACAGAAGCAAAGGATGGGAGAGACAAGAAAATACAGGGTGGAAAGCATCTTTGATCTATAATCTATATCAAACTTCTCTTTATTGATCAATAAATGTTTCTTGGTTTGATATTATGCATTCAGCACAAAGATTATATAAAAAATATTAAGATTTCTGCTGTCACAGGATTCACAACCAAACAAACACATTGGGACTGGAGAGATGGCTCAGTAGTGCCTGCTGTTCTTGGCAGGGTACCAGCACCCACTCAAAGCAATTTGTTAGGTGGCTCACAACTGCCCCTCACTCCAGATCCAGATAATTTGATGCCTTCTTCTGGCCTCCCTACAGTCACACAGTACACACACACACACACACACACAGAAACATCATACACATGTAATTAAACATAAAATAAATATTTCCCAAAAATGTCAAAAAATAGTAAGAACAAAGTGCCATATTCTTAAATAAGAATCTCTGATGGAATTTCTGACTTGTTTTTAATGCTTTAGTCTCTCAGTACTCTTATATAGTGAAAACATAATGTCTTAAAGAGAAGAAAAACGAATTAGAACTTTATCAAAAACCTAGTAATGACAGTGACGTATAAATAGAATGTTGTACTTACAGAAAATAGTCTATGATATAAACACACTTACATGAAAACACACTGAAAGAAATTAAGTGATTAATGTAACCAGAGGTACCTAGGACTACTGTGATGTTTGTTGTGTGCTTTTTCATTTTTCTAGTACTTTTATCACAAAAACGAACAAGCTTTCACTTATAGGGGTGGTGGTGATGCACGCCTTTAATCACAGCACTTGAGAGGCAGAGGCAGGCGGATCTCTTTGAATTCAAGGCCAGCCTGGTCTACAGAGAGAAGTCCAGGATAGCCAGGGATACACAGGAAAAGAAGGAAGGGAGGGAGGGAGGTAGGGAGGATGGAAGAAAAACTGTGGAGTGAAATCAAGCTTTTCAACCCTGAGTCGCAGCTTGATGAAACTGCCTTTTTGTCACTGTAGCAGTGCAAACATCAGGCAAAGTGGTTGTGTGTTCTAGGGGTCAGTACAGTCACCACATTGGTGTGGAACAGGAAGGTTCAGCTGGTGGCTCAGCCCATGACACAAACCCCATGGAGGTAGAATTTTTCCTACCAGCCCTGTGTCGAAAGACGGGGGTCCCCTACTGCATCATCAAGGGAGAGGCCAGGCTGGGGCGGCGGGTTAACTCCGGAGACAAGGCTGCTCTGGCTAAGCTGGTGGAGGCTGCTAGGACCAATTATGACAGAAATGATGAGATCTACCGCCACTGGGGAGGCAACGTCCCGGGTCCTAACTATGTGGCTCATACTGTCAAACAGGAAAAGTATACTTGTCACCTTCAACGTATACTGCTAAGTTTTCTGTATATAAATTTAAGTGTAAAATTATCTTCCAACTAAAACAACTTCCTTAAAAGAAATTCATTTTCTTTTAAATAACTAAACATTTATTGGTCCTTGAGCTGGTGATTTTGTTTGTGCGCAGGGGTGTGTGGGTGTGGATGTGGTCTGTTTTATCAGTTTGATACAGGCTACAGTTATTTGAGAAGAGGGAACCAAAATTGAGAAAATGTGCCGTAGGCAAGACTCTGGAGCATTTTCTTACTTGGTGACTGCAGTGGGAGGGCCACCCCTGTGCGCAGAAAAGCCGGCTGAGCAATCCTGAGGAGAAGCCAGGAAGCAGCACTCCTCCATGGCCTCTGCTTCAGTTCCTGCCTCCAGGTTAAATCCCTGAGTTCCTGCCCTGAATTCCATCAGTGTCACTGAGAGAAACCCTTTCTCCTCAAGCTGCTTTGGGTGAAGATGTTTATCACAGCAACTGAGAGCCTAACTAAAACAACCCAACTAAATTTCAAGATGCCGTTTGTTAAAGCGCCTTAGAGGTGAGCATTCACCGAGCATCATACCTGGAATCAGTGCTGTGCTGATGAGGATGTCCACTTCTTTGCACTGCTGAGCAAAGAGCTTCATTTCAGCTTCAATGAACTCTTTGGACATCTCTTTCGCATATCCTCCCTGGCCCTCACCAGATTCCTTCAAATCCACCTCCAAGGGTTCAGCACCAAGAGATTTGAACTGCTCCAAAGCTGCAGCTCTGGAGTGTTGAAGGGGAAACATATATCAGGGATTATATGTTAACTATATCAGGGATGCATACATAATCAAGAGACACAAACATCAAAATCAAAATCCTCACTTATGTATACCCTTTAAATCAGCAGTTCCCAACATGTCTGACACTACAACCCCTAATACAGCTCCTCATGTGGCGACCGTCCGTCCCCCCCAGACCATAAAATTATTTTTGTTGCTACTTCATATCTGTAATCTTGCTACTGCTATGAATCGTAATGTAAATATTTTTGGAGACAGAGACTTGCCAAAGGGGTTGTGACCCACAGTTTAGAACCACTGCTTTAAGTAAACTCTACATAATACAAAGTCAAGCATTTACTTCACTGTCTCTACCTGGATTGTTTCAATGACGTTTTAGACATTTAGGCAATTCTCACATATTTTCCTTAGGGGGAATAAAGAAGAATCCCAACTTCTATTTAAACTTAAAAGAAAAAAAAAAAGAATGTCACTATTGCCAATCCCAGCTTTGGCCCTTTGCTCCCAATGCTGATGATATAATATGATATCTGATAGACATTAAGATTTGCTATCACGCACATCACACAAGTTGAGTTTGTTCTCATTGTGAGATGACTTTTATTACAAATACTCTAATATTTAAATAAAGTGATTTGGAGGGTCTCAGTCCTCACAAATTCATAAAGCAAACAGACATAGTGGCACATGCCTGTAATCCCAGAATGTACAAGGTGGAGACAGGAGGAGCATTGGGATTTCAAAGAAAGTCTAGACCATACAGATGGTGTCTCAAAAGAAAACTGCAATGAATAAATGGCAAAATGTGAAGAGCCAACATATTTAGATTATACAAAACATATTCAATTTAAAGTAAATAAATGCCACCCAATCACTGTATTCTGGTTAGAAAATGAGAGCCAGCAAAGATCTCAGTGGTGGAAATCCCTAATCTCTGCACTGCAATAACCTCAAACACCCTAAGTAACATCAATCACAGCCAGTGCCTACTGCAAGTACACATGCAGTCATTAAAATTAGTTTACAGAAAGAAAGCTATTAGCCAGGTGTGGTGGTCGGAAGAGTGTCCCCACATGCTCGGCTTCCGGCTCCAGCCACCCTGCCACCCCTCTGTCTTAATGGACTTCTCCTGTAAACTCTTTCACAAGTCGCTTTGGTCAGTGTTTTATCACAGCAACACAAAAACAATGCATCAGAACTAGGGGTGCACGCACGTAACAGGGCTGAGGCAGGATGAACTCACGGAGCTCGAGGCAGCATGGCCAGGCCCGACAGCAGGACCAAACCAGTCAGGGTCCCAGTACAGATGGAGAAATGCACAAGAGCTCTCAGCTACAGCCAAGGAGCCAGCTACAATGAACAAACCCTAACAAAGCAAGAGTTCGCTCCTCCCATGGAGTCCTAGTGGGTTCACGGATCACACTTAAGGTCAGGCCCATGCCCAGCAGATGGCTGAAGCAAAATGAGCCCAACGTTATTTTTGAGATGTCTTGGCTCCTATTGCTTTGTTTAGGCATTTTATACCTTACCAGTCTTGCCTGTGTGTATGTGTGTGTGTGCGTGTGTGTGCGTGTGTGTGTGTGTGTGTGTGTGTGTGCACGTGAGCAAGTGATCATGTGTGCATTTCTCATGCTCTTTCTTTGTTCCCTTTTTTATTTTCTTTTTTAGGTGTATGTGCATTTGTTCATTTTGTGTTACTCTTGTGTGCCATTTTTATTTGCCTGTGCAATGAAGTTTTAATTTCTTTAAAAACTCAGCTGTGTTATGTGAATATGGTTTTGTTTTAACCTCAAGTGCGGGATTTCAGTTTGAGCTTTAGTTTGTCCAAAGCTGATAACTGTGTCATGGGGAGCGTGGTCTTTGCCAGCTGGTAACGGCTTGCTCCTGCAGCACACAGATGGGTGTGGTCTAGCACTCTGAGGAAGGTGAATAGGGGAGGCCTGAGAGAGAAAGTATGGCATGTGGTGGTTTGGCATGGGGCAATTGGCGAGGCCAGAGACAGGAGGCGTGATTTTTTGGAGCAGATAAACGGAGAGAGATGCTTCATGGCTCAGCAGCTTGGAGGTGACTGCTTGCTGCAACAAGACTGTTACAGCCCCAAAGGAACCCATCGACCCTAACCAGTCAAGAGAAGCATGGGGTCTGTGGCCCCTCCCCACTAACCTTCTCTCTTCTACCTAAGGTTGGAGGGTTGAAAGGGAGAGGTTTTAAGAAACCCCAAATAAAAAAGTGAAGAAGATCCAGAAAGAGATGAGAGAAGTGAAACCATGAATATACTGTATGAAAAAAAAATTATTTTCAATTAAAACAATAAAATCTGCAGGAAAATTGATGAACTTGCGATGTATAATATTAAGGTCATCCATATTAATCTCAGAAAGAAAAAAAAAACTTATGTTCTCCCTCACATTCAGACCCCAGCCTATAATGTATACATGGATAAGAATATATGAAACAAATGTACACATGGGTATAGAATAACATTTAGAAAGGAGAACAAGAATGGGCAAAGTTAGGTGATGAAGAAGGATGGAATGCAGGCAAAGAACACATGAGTAATAAAAAAGAATATAAAGCTAATTTTCTAGTCTTAACTCTATTATGGTTTCTTTATTGTGGTGCACAAAAAATGTAATTGATAATAAAATTGTAAACCTACAGCTTCAGAATTGCCATTCTAACCTTGTGGAAATTCACTGAGGTGGATGGAGTTCAGGACTGGGCAAGTGTTTGCTTGAACGGCTACATTAATCTAGCTGCATGATGTTTTTATTCCATTAAATGTAATTCATTACATTATGATTTGTTAGAAATATGGTTTTTATACTAAGTAGATAAATTACAGAAAAAATAGACTCTTAATTACTTCTCATTGGCTGTGATAAGACACCATGACCAAGGCAACTTATAAAAGTAAGATTTAATTTGGAGCTCACAGCTGCGGAGTAAGAGTCCATGACAACCACGGTGGAGAGCGTGGCAGCAGACAGGCAGACATGGTATTGAAGTGGTAGCTGAGAAATCACATCTCAAGCCACAGCAAATGGCAGAGAGAATGGTAACTGGGAACAGTGTGGGCTTTTAAAAGCTCAAAACATACCCCAAATGACACAGCAACTCCAACAAGGCCACACCTCTAAATCTTCCCAAACAGTTCCACTAGCTGGGGACCAAGTATTCAAACACTGAGCCTCGGAGGCGTTATTCTCATTCAAACCACTCCAAGTAGACTTAAATGACAGCTGTGACTCTAGCTGCCAATGCAGCTCACAGTTTGAACAAAGACATCGGTACACTATATACTCGATAGCTAACCAAGCAAGCTGCGAGTCATTTCTAGGTCAAAATAGAATATCATTATCTATTATCGTTATAACGAAACCATGACCAATCCACTTTCCAAGGCTTGAAAGTTTGGAAAACTCTGCTCATCAGCAAACATTAAAAATGAAAGGACAGAAGCAATGTCACTTTTGGTCCCAAGTCTCCTTAATAAGGCGATGTCATGGCTACTCTGGAATTGGCTTGTTTTTCTCGTTGAGGGGAAGTGGATTTTATAAGCACCTGGGTTCTCTAAGGTCAGGAAAGAACAGTTGGTCGTGTTTCATGAGCATTTACTCTGAAAAGTCTCACTCTTTACATTTTTTTTCCTATATACATAATTGGCAGTGCAAGGACATTGTTCAGTTGGGAGAGCATGTGCCAAGCATACACAAAGCCCTAGATTTAATCTCCAGCACTGAAAAATAAATAAATAAGATTGGCAGCAGTGTTACGACTCTAGTGCCCTTATTTATAATAAACACATATGTGCTTTGAACAACCCCCTAAAAATAGAAACAAAATGATCATTGGACTTACTAAGCATTTCATAAATGCTGACATAGGGCATCTCCAGCAATGAGGAAGAATCTTAACCAAATTTCTCTTTGCAAACAACATAGGAAAATGTTTTCTGACTATCTTAGAGATATACAATATACGCAGAAAAGTAGTTTCTCCTACATGGTCTATAATCTTCAGAGAAAAATAGTCAGCTCTCTCCTTACAGCAAAAGCAGATGCCTTAGCAAAAATACTACAGTTACAATTCACATGCTGCTATTCCTCGGTAAAAAGTGATTGGGTCTGTGGGTCAAAGAGAGAGCACTTACATAGCGTGTGTGCGGACTGGGTACTCAAGCCAGCCTCACCAAATAAAAAGTACTGGAGACTGTCACGCCGGTTCTATCACTTCCATCACTGAGTGCTACGCATAGGCACCTCCCAATGCACTTGTCAGCCCTGCCCTCCTAATGCCCAAAAGCGTTCTAAAGACTAAAGCAGCAGAGTAAAGCAACGTGCTACTAGCTCAGCAGAGACAACTCTGGTCCCAATGCACACAAAGAAGTGTGGCCTATCACCTTTCAATTACTTTATTATCTCTGCTTCTTTCCAGTAAATAATAAAAAAATTATATTGAGCCAAACTTTAAACAGCAAAAAAAAAAAAAAAACATTTTTAGTTGGAAAAAGCATATAGAAAAGCTTCAGTGAGCCATTAGAAACAAATGTTCTCAGTTAAATATTAATCACTAGTCAAGCACTCACCTTGTGTCAAACCCTCGGACAACCGCGCCCATTGACTTGGCTGCACCTGCAGAAGCCAGCCCAGCGACGCCACCGCCAACTATCAGGATCTGAGAACAAAGAACAAGGACTGCTTAAAGTGTGTTACAAGGTGATGGCAAAGGATCACCTCCTGGCAACTCCTGAGACCTGGTACATGGTCAGTGCTCAATGATAAGAGTGGAGGCGGGGGGGGGGGGGGGGAAGCAGCCACATGAATGCAGCAGGGGGTCTATCCTTCCACTCAATCACCAGTGTTTTTAAAATTGATCAAAGAAACAGCCTCTGCCAGTGGTCAACAACTTTCCCTAAAAAATCATACCCTGGAGGTCAGCATCTCGGAGCGGAGGTCGTACCAGCACAATCAATGGCCACACATGCTAAAGATTACCGAGTTTGTTCTCACTGTACCTACCACCAAAATGGCAGGACGGTACTCCAACTACCTCTCCCCCTCCAAAGCCAAGGGTTTCCTGGGTTCATGAAATACTGAAAAAGTGTCAAGGAGGTACGCAACTTTGACAAAACATCCAGGCCAGCTGCTGTTTTGAGCTCAGATGCTTTTGGTAACCAAATACAGAAGTGAAAGCCATCTTGAATGATCTGTATCTGACATCTGGTGCAATCTAAGTAAGTCTTCTTAGCTACGGCAGGAGCGGGGCCACAGAAACTCCAGCCTCCCCAGCCTGAACACAAGCACAGCAAAGGCAGTGTTGCTCCTAGCCTGGAGCGGCCCTTCCGGAGAAAAGGAGGCTTGTTGTGCACCCCATAACTACCACAATGAAGGCAACTCCTTGTTCCGGCAGGAACAAATGTCACCCACAGAAACAGGGAAGTTTGTAAATTCTCACCCACCCACCAGGCCCACGCTCCTTCTGCTTTTTTAAGGAGTCTGTGCTGTCAAGACTGTGTGCTCCAGTGACCCATAGGCCATTTTTCTAAACAGAAAAATAATAATAATGATAATACAAGTCTAAGATGCATACAGGACTAGGCTAATCATCATGCCAAGAAATAACACAGATTTGTGAAATTACTCTAATCATATTCTAAAGCAAGGAGGATCAGGAAGGCTAGCCAGAGCTACAGAGCAGGACAGTACTTCAAAAACAGAAAAAAAAAAAAAAAAAGAATTAAAAAGGACACACAAATGCAGTTAGGAGAAATAAAAATCCAAGAGAGACAGCTCAGTGAGTGCTTACTGTACAAACACCAGGATCTGAGTTCGAATCCCCAGCTCCCGTGTAAAAAGCCAGGCACAGGGCGGCTCATCTTTCTTTGAGTTGCACTAACAAGACCTGAAGGAATGGGTCTTTGTTATCCAGCCGGACCTGGGTTCTCAACATCATCTTGGATCACCCTCCACCTTGCTCAAAGCCACTTTAGAGCCAATAGCCTTCTTTTCCTAGTACACACTGAACTCTTTTCCATTTCAGTGTCTTATATAAGCTGCTCCCTTTGTCCAACATCTTAGAGCCCGAGTTTTGTTTTTCCGTCCTTCCCACCTCTGCTCAGATGCCAGGGGAGCCGTTCCTGTCCCCTAGCCTAGGAAGTTAGCACGTTCTCAAAATCTTATCATCTGGTTCGTTTATTATTAACTACATTTATATCCATATTTATCTGGGTTTCTTCCATCTTCATCATGACCCACACTGAAATGTAACTTTCATCCAGCAGGTGTTTCTCTTGTTATCTTCAGGCTTGTCCCTTGCTCCTACACTGAGTTCCCAAGGTATCAGAAGCATTAAAGTGATTTTAGTTCATTTCAGACGAGTTAAAAAAAAAAAAACCTCTATGTTTAAAAATAAATTTAAAATATTATACATGACAAGTCCAACTGGATCTAATGCTTCAATTTTAGAAAATTATTTCTTACAGCACACCATAGTTACTTAGGCTGAATATATTTCTTAATTGCATTTTCTTTATTTGTGTTAAGGGGCAGGGGAGGGAAAAACTCATCATGGGACACATGTGAAGGTCAGAGGATTCCAGGGATTGAACTCAGGCTACCAGGCCAGAAGGCAGAAGGAGCCTTTCTCCCTCGACCACTGAATTTACACCCTAGTGGGCACAGTCACCTTTCCACCTTTTAATAACTCACTCTCCTGCTAAGCCTCTCGTTTGTTTCACTTTTTAATCGTGTATTACAAGTTTCCTCTCAACTTCCCCACCTTTCTAAAAAGATCCTAATCAAAGCTAAGCTGTTAGCTCATATACCCATGCATCCAACCAGTGTAGGAACAACATTGAGCTTCTGCCAGTTTGGATGCCAGACATTTCCTCATGCAAGGAGATGGAGTTCCATGTTTCAGAGACAGGAAGTTTAGTGTCTGGTGCACCATACATTTATGGTGCTCACGTATACATTCTTGCTAGCAATCCGGCCTTTCTTTAAAGGACTTTTTTCCACGGTCTTTTCTTCTCAAGGCTGCTTGTTTTTTTTTTTTGTTTTTCCCCTCATAGAACTATTGGTAGAACAATTCTGAGTTTGTAAAAACAAGTATTTAAGAACAAGAAGCAAACCGATGGATGATGGCAGACATGTCCCGCTTCCTATGCCTGGACTCGGGGTTTGTACTGAGTGGACTCTGTATTGAAGGGTCACAGTGTGCTCCCTCTGCTTGTGCCCACCCTCCCTGCTCATCACTAACTGCTCTCTTTCCCTTTCTGTTCCCAATCCAGATTCAGGAAGCAGCACCCTTCCGCTGGGCCTTCATTATAGCACTTCCCATGATTTCCTGTCCTCTTGATGCCCCTCCCCAACCCAGACTGACCAGAGTGAAGAAATCAAAGAAGTGTTTTCTACAAACTGTGATGTTGCAGAAATCAGGAAACACAGATTTACTGGATAATATCTTGAAGTTTTTAAAAAGTAATAACAAACTGGCCCACAGATCAACCTAGCCAAAATCCATTTAGGAATTCAAATAAATTGTTGGGGGGGGGGTGTGCACACCTTTAATCCCAGCACTCAGGAGGCAGAGGCAGGTGGGTCTCTAAATTGGAGGCCAGCCTGGTCTACAGAGTGAGTTCCAGGACAGTCAGGGCTACACAGAAAAACCCTGTCTTGAAAAACCAAAAAGGGAGAGATGGCTTAGAGGTTAAGAGTACTAGTTGCCCTTCCAGAGGTCCTGAGTTCAATTCCCTGCAACCACATGGTAGCATAACCATCTCTTGTGAGATCTGGCGCCCTCTTCTGGTGTGCATCCATGCAGACAGAACACTGTATCCATAATAAATAAATCTTGAGGGGAAAAAAGAAGAAAAAACAAACAAACAAACAAAAAGAATTCAAATAAGCCAAAAACTTAAAAATTAGAAGAAAAAAGACTAGAACTTTCAAAACAAACAAAAAGACAAAAATTCTTTTTTTTCAAGCAATATTAAATGTTCAGCGCTAAAGCTTTATTTTAAATTTCTAAGTACTATAACAACATTGGTGAGGCTAACCCAACACATCTAAAAATAACCGTACTTTAAGACACCTTCAGTTTGTCTCATTAATAAACACTGGAAGTTGTACATACCTTAGCTGGGGGGACTTTTCCAGCAGCTGTGATCTGACCGGTAAAAAACCTTCCGAAATGATTCGCTGCTAAAACGACAGCTTTATAGCTGAAAAAAATAAGCAGACAGCTCCATAAAATAAAAGGTGAAAGGCCTGTACATACAACCTGCCAGTTACATAACCGCAGAAACATAACGCTTGGACGGCACGCTGCAGCAAGATCATTTCTGAGCCGGGTTTCTGTACTCACCCCGGCAACCTTCACAGTCAGTCTCTGAACCCATACAACACTAACACGAGGAGCTACCCAGCCTCTTCCTAAAAAATACTACAGACTAGCCAGTAGAGAAAAAGTAAACACACACAAGACACACACACAAAGACAACAGCACTTTTCTTCAGGTGTCAAGGCTCCCAGTCTTCAAACTTCCCTTTTTGATTTTACCAGTGTTGTTCAAGTTGTCTTCATGGCTATGTAGCATTTACATAACACTAAGGGGAGGCCTAGATTAGCTGTGATACTTGTATATAGTAATAGTTCAATCCCAGAGGGAAAAGGGCACAGCCGGTGAAAGCTGGGGCTCCTGAGACACACCAACTGCTCAGATCGGAGGCCTTGAACAAAGTTAATCCTCACTTTCCTCATCAGTAAAACAGGCTCAAGAAGCACATCTAGCTCTCAGAACTGCTGAGAGGACTAAATAAGTGAAGGCAGGCGAAATTTTCAGTGTGGTTCCTGTCACGACAAATGCTCAGTAAAAGTGAGGTAACTACGGAAACAAGTTATCCAATAAAAACTAACAGCAAGCTACATCTTCTCTTTAGTAGGATGTCTGGACACACCACACTATCATCTTTACTTAATTAAACACTAAGACTCATGCACTGACTTGAAGCAAAACCATTCCCTTGTAATTTGTAATACTTAATAAAACAATTAATACAAAAGCACGTGATCACCATTACTGTAAATTGATGGAAGTCGAGCAGAAAAAAGTTTTTTTTCTTTTTTGTTTGATTTTTTGTTGTTTTTTTGTTTGTTTGTTTGTTTGTTTGTTTGTTTGTTTTTTTAAAACAGGGTCTCTCTTTGTAGCCCTGGCTATCCTGAACTCACTTTGTAGACCAGGCCGGCCTCGAACTCACAGAGATCTGCCTGCCTCTGCTTCCCTGAGTGCTGGATTATATGGGTGTGCCACCACACCCAGCTGGGAAAAATCTTTTCAAGATAGAAATCAGGTGTTTCTAAACACTCTGCTCCATCTAAATGCAAGCTGCATTCTGTGGTGCTGATTGGACCTATTTATATTGTCTGGTAACATTTTGTTTGCTCAAAAGATTCTGCAGCTAAGAACACTGTTCCTGGGCTGATTTTCATATTCTTCCACCTACATGCATCTTCCATGACAAAATCAACAGCACCCTTCAAATTCTGAATGCTGTAACAGTCAGTCTTCCAACCACTAAATATGGCAACAATTTCTTTTGGCCCTGCCATTGTTTTTGTACCGCAAACAATGTTTTGAGTAAATCATTTGCCACTTCATATTAAGAATGACAAGTTATATTTCTATTTATTTATTACTTGTATGTAATATGTGTGCTAGTGTATGTGTTGCTGTGGTAGTATACGTGTCAGGGGGCAGAACTTGTGGCAATCAGAATCCAACTCAAGTGTTCCTCAGGAGCCTCGAGCCTTTTTTTTTTTTAAGACGGACTCTCTCACTGGGACCCTGGGCTTGATAATTAGACCAGGGTGGCTGTCTGATGAATCCCAGGGATGCCTCTGGCCGGAGTACAAACTTGTGCCACCTCATCTGGGTTTGTATACGGACGTTAGGGAGTGAACTGGGTCCATAGGCTTGTGCACGAAGCAACTTTGTTGAGCTATCACTGCAGCCCCCAAAATGTGTTAACTGGTCTTAATTATATATATGACAAACAATATGAATGGGATAAACAGTTGAAACACAAAATCGATTCCCAGCATATTTTAAATGTTACATCCAAAACACAAATCTTGGGCCAGTGCGATGACTCAGTGGATAAGGGTTTGCCATGCAAGCCTGACAGACTGAGTTTTATCCCAGGAACCCTCATTTAAAAAGCCGAATGGTGAGCCAGGCGTAGTGGCACAAGCCTGTACTCCTAGCACTCTGGGAGGCAGAGGCAGTCAGATCTCTGTTCAAGGTCAGCCTGGTCTACAAAGCCAGTCCAGGACAGTCTACACAGAGAAACCGTATCTCGGGGGAGGTGGGAGAAGCTGAATGGTGGCACAAATCTGTAATCCCAGCACTGCTTTGTCAGTGATGGGATGGAATGTGAAGGTGGGAGGCAAAGACAGGAGAATCACCTGAAAGATGGTGCCAGCCAGCTAGCCTGGAGGACATAGCTCAGTGCAGACAAGAGACCTTTCCCCAGTGAGACAGAAGAACCTGCTCCTGAAAACTGTCATCTGGCCACCATACATGCTTTTCCATACTCACTCATACACACACAGAGAGAACGATAGACTTACATAAACACCGAAGAACCTTCCAGCTCATGCAAGACTCTGTGAAAAGACTATACTCTTACTGTTTGTTTTCCATGCACTGTTTTTCCTTTTAAAACTTTTGTTGGTGTTTCACCCACATTAGCTTAAATTTCAATTAAATTAGTTTCTTTGAGAAGTTGGTTTCATAAGCATTATCCTATGTCCAGATCATCCCCACCCCCTCAGGCAGTCAGTGATCATCCCTGTCCCTCATGACCTGGCAGGCATGGTTATAGCCATATTCCTGCAAGCAGAGGGGACCTTAGAAGGCTTTTCCATGGAACATTCCACACGAGACCTCTGGACTCCTTCCCATTGTGTAGGCTGTCTCTTCCTCTGACTAACAATTTCCTTTGCCGTAGTAAAGAAGGTTTTTCATTTCATGAAGCCCCACATGTTGATCGTTGGCCCTGTTTCCTGAGTGACTGAGGTCCCATTCAGAGAGTCCTTACTGAGTCCCCCACCATCCTCCCTAGTCTTTCTCTTAGGAGTCTTGGAGAATCAGATCTAAGACTGAGGTCTTTGGTCCACTTGGAACTGATTTGAGTTTGGGGTGAGAAGAAAGGATCAAGTATCTACTATAGGTAGATATCCAGTTTTCCCAGCAGCATTTGTTAAAGATGCTATCATTTCTCCAATGCGTGCTTTTCTCATCTTTGTGAAAAACCAGTTGGCTGTAGGTATATGGAATCTGGGTTCTTGATGCTAGTCTATTGATCAATATGTCTATTTTTGTGCCAATGCCATATTGTTTTACTGTGGATATGTGGTATAATTTAAAATAAAAAATGGTGATGCCTCCAACAATGCTTTAATTGTCAATGATGTTTGGAAAACTACTACTTCTGTAAGCATATATAAATATATGTGCACACACATCCATACATATATGTATATATGCATACATGTGTGTGTGTGTGTGTGTGTGTGTGTGAGTTTAACTGAAGTTACTCTACACACGGGGATGCTGCTCCTCTTAGAAACCCTGAGTTGAAAAAAGAAAAAGCTCATTGTAAGGATATGACTGTGCTGCAAATGTTACGGTGGTAACCTACTGTTTTCTGATTAGATTTAAGGCCTCCTCCAAAGAAAGAAGCTAGTACCTGGCTACTTAAACTGGTACCTGGCTACTTAAACTGGTACCTGGCTACTTAAACTGGTACCTGGCTACTTAGATTTTAGGCCTCCTCCAAAGAAAGAAACTGGTACCTGGCTACTTAAATCTGGCCAAGAACCCACGGCTGGGCCATACATAAGCCCCAGGGGTGAACCTACTGCTTTTATTTTGCTAAAAGGACAGAGTATCAAACTGCCCTGTAAATTCGTGTCATTATACCCATAGATTAGTGCAGCTCTTAGACCACATTAGAGAAGAATAGTAGACAGTAGTTAATGCAAAAATTCTACCTCTACACACCTACTCCCTCCAAATCTCAGGGAGGACCAGAGCAAAACAGTGTCTTCCGAAAAAGACAAGACCACCGAACTCATGACCTCACAGCAGCTGTAGCCGCCTTCACATGACCAAGCCAATCAACACTCTAGCGTAAAGGATAAGGGGCTCCCCAACCCCAACTATGGAAGAGGGACATAGCTTCTGGAGAAATAGGACCATTCAGGTTTTTTTCTTTAACAGTGAGCTCCTGGTAGCTCAAACATGCTCCAGTAGATGGCCCTACACCCATGAGCATCTTGTCAGCACAAAAGGACTGCAAAGCTGGGAGGGGGTCAGGCACTGGGCAGTGAATCCGGATGAAATTAGGGGGAGGAGTGGGGAATAAATGTTAATGAGAATATATTATATTCATGTATGAAAGTCTCAAAGAATTTTAAAAATATACTATTTTTAAATAAAAAAATAGTTTTGTTTTGTTTTATGAAAATGGAGTTCTAACACAGAAACAAGGAAGGTGGCAGTGCTGACAGGAATATGAAATCCATTATCACTGTGGCCTCAGAAGAAGACAAGCTCTGCTAAGAACACAGACTTTCACATAAAACTCCCCTCTAATATGGAAATTTTCTTGATTCATTAAATATTTTATTAATTTTCTTAAGAAAACCCTTAGAAAGATGATCAGCGTAAGCGTAATGATATGTGCCTATAACCTCAGCCCTCAGAAGGTGGGCAAGGGATTGCCCTGAACTACAGAGAGAGGTCTAGACCAGCCTGAACTACAGTCAGACTATCATTCAGTTAGACATTATTACAAGCAGAAAGTCCATACCTAACCTCACAGAAAACATGCAATTGGTCACAGTGCAAAAGCCCAACACAGTATTTACAACATCCCAAAGGAAAAAAGACCTTCTAAAATGTACCATTTCATAAATAAAATACCAAAACAGATTTATGAAACTTCCTTCAGGTAATGTGTATAAAGTGTATATGAAACATAAATTCCATGTATGCACTTGGATCTTGTGTCCAAAACACAAATATGAATATTCCAAAATCTGAAAAAGTCTGAAATCTGAAACACTTCTGATCCCAAATTTTCAGGGGTCCTCAACCTGCATTACACTTAAAAACACATGAAACTGCCAGTATTCAATTATTTGTGGCCTATAAAAACAACTATTTCAAAAACAAAAAAAACCAAAGTGAATAAACTGTAATTAATAAAACAAATAAATTATTTTTTTTTAAAAAAGAAAAAAACAACTATTTCAATCTAATGTATGTATACACAACATAAAAATACAGCTTCCTCACATGAACACACAGCTCTTTCCTTTGGTGGATGTAAATATTGCTTCTAACTGTAAAGATAAGACATGTAACCTGTATCACTGTGACTACTGCAAAAAAAATAATAAAATGAACCACAAAGAGTAACTGAAGTTAAGGCAAGGCGAGCTGTAGAAGACCCGCAACACGACGCCTGTGTCACCTCCCTGTGCCTTTGCTCAGCTGACGTGGGAAGGAGTATACTTACCCAGAAATGTTGGCCATGGAGCTGAGAGCATCGTACCCCTGAGCAATCGTGACTCTTGGGACCTGGTCCATTGCCAGAACTGTAGTTTTTCTTTCAGAAAGTTTATTTAGCAAGTCTGGGTTTTGGGCAGGGTAAATGAAGCTAATGAGCGTCCCCGACGGCTTTAAAAAGTCGGCTTCGTGAGCACCTAATGTTGGATTCACCATGGGAGCTCTTACCTGAAATGGAAGTCAAATCACAGGTTAATGCTGTCACTGCCTTCATCAAGTTTTTTAAGTAACCACACACACACAGGACAGTCTCTTTAAGGCATGGCACTATTGTTTAAATAATACTTCTGTGATAAATCTCCCATCAATAAATGTCTGCCTGAGCGTAAGCAACTCTGCTGCGACTAATGGCCTGCGGACTGTTCTGAGTAAAGACACACATTCAGGAAAGACACACTCGGGGAAAACACACTCAGGGAACAGCCCCAGGTCAGGTGTGACGACTGCAGAGTGCCGAAATAGAATATTTACAGTGGATATTTATAGAAGATTTATAGAATATTTATAGAGGATTTTACAATGAACCTGGGACCCCTAAACATACTGCTCTGTTAAAAAAAAAAAAAAAAAAAAAACTAAGAGATATTAGGAGAAAAGATAAGCAAACATTTGTTTTATGAAGACTCAGTCCAAGAACTGGGAAGTGGTAGCATACATACTTAATCCCAGCACTGGCAAAGGCCAGCAGAGCTCTGTGAGTGGGAGGGCAGCCTCGTGTGCAAATCCAGTTAGAAGCCAGCAAGGGCTACATAGTAAAACACTGTCTCAAAACACAAAACCAAAAAAGACTCAATCCTTAGTGATGTTGGCAAATGTAACTAAATGGTGAGACATTGGGAATGTTGTCAACTGAAGACTGCATGGTATAGATGTATGTCACTTTAAATTCCAGCCCCATAAATGAAGACAAGTCAAACTAGCATCTCTACCAAACTAAGCTTACTCTAGCTTCAATATATTGTTCTAGTAAGAAGTTTCACTATACTTGTTTTGTGTGAAATAAGCATAGGAAACATAGCCTGCAGGATTTACATTTTAAATACAAACAAAAATGCTGGTTCCATCACTGCCTATCATGGCATCTTATCTTAACTTACCAAAGCACCTTCGCCTCTTATTCCTGTGCCTGGTGTTAAGCTGGTGATTCATATGAATCTAGGCTGAGAACTTTCAACTCTTTGGGCAGGAGGTGTGGTTCAGTGGAAGAGTACTAATCTGGCATATGCGAAACCAGCAACACGGGTGCGTGCGCGAACACACACCCTAAAGCCTATTCTAAATGGGGTGAACTCATTTTTTTTATTTTCCATGTTATGTTCCTACATATCAAGTATATGTAAACCTAAAACTTTTTTAAAGCTTTAGCTGAGTTATAACTTATGTTTATATCATAAAATTTCCAAATACTTTCCTATAGTCAAAACTGACTTCGAATCTTCTCAGATATTACCATCTATGATGTTGTTAGGACTGGGGAGGTCACCTAGTGGTAGAGTTCACGCTTAACATGCTTGAGGACCCGGGTTCAATCGCAGCCTCAGAAAAATAATGCCAGTATGTTATTCAGTAGAGTTGCGGGGAGGGAGCTATGTGAATGATTCTTCTTATGAATTAATAAAAAAAGCTTATTTTTATTTAAAAAAACTGTTGGCTTTAACACAGTGTTCACACTTTTGTCATCCCTACTTCTCTGCTCACATTAGTTGCAAAATATTTAATGATTTAAATTTAATGTTCCACTCTAGTTATTATCTAGGCTAAACTCTTAGTACAGCCTTATACATGATTTTATATTTATATTCATATTTTAGTTATAAAGCTCCTTAACATATAAATTTCTGCTGAATGGTACCTCAAGACCTTTTAAAGTCAGTTGGCCTACCAGTCACCCCACAACGGTCATGCTATGTCAGTGTGAATAACCGCCTTCGTTATCAGACGCTACACACAGCATCCTGGGCTGGGTTCAGCATCTTCTTGCCACCCAACCTGTATACAATCATAATCTGGAAGTCTGTATATAAGTGGACCATGTAGCACAAATTTTACACATCACTTTGCATGAGTATGAACAATTATGTGCCAATTAAAAACAAAAAAGAAGAGCACTAAGAAAATTGGAAGAATTGGGTATGGTGGCTTTGATCCCAGCATTGGAGAGGCAAACATAGATGGGTCTGTATGGCTTACAGGCCAGCTAGGGCTACAGTGAGACCATGTCTCAAAAAAAGAGAGAGAGAGAAAGAAAAGAAAGTATAAATGAGAGAGATAAAGGAGTAATTACTTTGACCACCAGATCAGAAGCCAGAACTTCCTTCGCCCCTTGGATTTGGGCCCCTGCCGCTCTGTAGAGGTCATCTGGGAATTTGGAAGCTTCACCTGCTCCTGATTCCACAACAACATTAAATCCCTGCTTGACCAGGGCCTGGACACCAGCAGGAGACAGTGCTACTCGCTTCTCATTTTGGAAAATCTCCTTGGGGACCCCAACTGTCAGCTGCTTATATGGAATTCCTAAAAACAAACAAAACCAAAGTTTAAGCAAAGCTAAAACGCATGCTTCAGAGAAGACTTCAGGAAAAAGAAACGGGCAGTCTGTTCTCCAAAACATACTATGCACAAGCTGTTACTGAAAAATTAACAATTCACAATCACAATCCATTTACCTTTTTTGAAAAGTGACAAATTTTTGTACAAACTGTCCTTAATGCACTAAATATTTTTATTTAATTGACTGTTTCTCTTTAAGGCGCATGATAAACTGAACCTAATCTTAGGAGAAAAATACCTGAGATAAGAAATCTCACAGTGTGCTAACTCCCCTCTTTCACCCTCTGGGTTACAGTCTCCTGTCCTGGCCTTTAGTAAAGACAGAAATAAATTACTGAAGAATAGCTTTACAATAGATACTTTGATGGCTGCCATATCTTACATTCCTTTCCTGTCAATTTGGCCAGAGTAAATTTCTCATAGATTTCCAAGAACGGAATCCTGAGACTCTACCAGCAACTGATCAGACAAGAGGCCAGAAACCAGGTCAAAGACATGAGGAAGCCAGCTGCCACCTCCATGATGTGACTTACAGAGGGTCCAGGACAGTCCATGTTGGCCACTGATTAACCTACTATGTTGCTGAAGTCATGTTTTATGTTTTACTAACCTACTGTGTTTTATGTCAGCTTGATGCACACTACAACATTTGGGAAGACGGGCTCTCAATTAATAAAATGCCACCATGCGATCCCTGTAGGCAGCCTGTAGTGCGCTGTCCTGGTTGGTGACTGATGTGGGCCGGTCCAGCTCGCTGGGAGTGCCACCCATGGGCACAGTGTGACAAAGCAGGCTGAGCAAGCCAGGAGGGGCAGTCAGTAAGCAGAGTTCCTCCATCACCTCTGCTTCAATTCCTGGCTCCAGGGTCTCACCTTGAGTCCCTACCCTAACTTCTTTCAATGATGGGATGTAACCTGAAGTTGTAAGCCAAAATAAACCTTTTCCTCCCCAAGCTGCTTTTGATCATCATGATTTATCACAGCCACAGAAAAGGAACTAAAACACCCAGCCACTCATGTTCTCTCCTAGGAGAGAATGGAGAAGCCAAAGAACAACTAGAAAAGTAGATGGTAGGGAAGTGACTTGTACACATCTATGGGTCCATCAGCAAAGAGACGTCCGAATAGCACTGACTGGCACAGCAACAGTGGCTGCGTAAAGAAAGACAAGCCATAACCAGGAAACCCAGAACGCATTCCACTTCTCCAAGATGGCAAGGGGTTCCTGGGGTCCCTTTCCCCAAGAATTTATACAACAAACCCTCAGCACAAAGTATAACCTGATTGTGATCTGTTGCTTACAACCCAAAAGAAAGCGTGTAACACAAGGATCTTTATACGGAGTTCAGGCTCTCTTTACCTACAGTTTCCTCTGATGCTTTAATCAACATGAACCAGTAACAGTTTCTTGTTTTGTTTTGTTTTGTTTTGTTTTTTGTTTTGTTTTGTTTTAGTGTTTTGAGACAGGATTTCTCTGTGTAGCCTTGGCTGTCCTGGAACTTGCTTTGTAAAGCAAGCTGGCCTTGAACTCACACAGATCCACCTGCCTCTGCCTCCAGAGTGTTGGGATTAAAGGCATGTACCACCGTGTTCAGTCCTTAACATATTTTTAAGCAGTATGTTTCTGAATAATTGTTTGGGTTTTTTTTTTCCGATTTATTTTTATTATTTATACAGTATTCTGCCTGCAGGCATGCTTGTAGGCCAGAAGTGGGCACCAGATCTCATAGATAGTTATGAGCCACCATGTGATTGCTGGGAATTGAACTCAGGACCTCTGGAAGAGCAGCCAGTGCTCTTAACCTCTAAGCCATCTCTCCAGCCCCTAAGCAGTATGTTTCTATATAGGCTTTACTATAGTTTAAAAATTCCATTATTGCCACTGAATATATAAATTTTTTAAAAAAATGAATCAGATTACAAATATAGAGTAACTTATGGAGACTTTAAACATATTAAGGCAACTTGAAAATATCCACATCTGATCACAGTCTTATATTTCCATACTACTTATACACTAATAATTCACAGTATACCAGAGGCAGAAAAATGCTTATTTTCTACCTCAAGCAGAAGAAAATAGGAGGTTGGCAAATATTTTGACCCATGTGTAAAACTAAGTCATAATGTGCACTTCTCTGGAGTTTACTACTCATCTGAGAATCTCAAATCTAAGCTCCAGATTTGGAAAGCTAAGGCTAAGGGTGACGGGGTAGAGCATACAGAGTCAAAAGTATTTAGAACCAGAAGTGAAGGTGCACACCTTTAATCCCAGCATTCAGGATGCAGAGGCAGGCGGATCTCTGTGAGTTCAAGGCCAACCTGGTCTACATAGCAAGTTCCAGACCAGCCAGGGCTACATGGTGAGAGCCTGTCTCAAAAAGAAAAAAGAAAAAAAAAAATATTTAAGAGCCAATTTGAAATGGCTTCCACCAGCCAAATATGGTAATTTGAGTTTGAAAAAGAATAAATAGGGGCTGGAAAGATGAACTGGCTGCTCTCCCAGAAGACCTGGGTTCAATTCCCAGCAGCTACATGGTGGTTGGATCACAATTATCTATAACTCCATTTCTAGAAGGTTCTCTTACATGAGCTTCCATGAGCACCAGGAATATATGTGTCCATAGACATACATGTAGGCATAAACAGCCATAAAAAAATGATAATTTTAAAAAGAATAATGGAGTAGTACACTTCCAAAGATAATATAATCTATGAGTTCATGTTGATTATCAGAAAAAAGTACTAGGTATTTTAAGTGGCATAGCTCAACTTAGAACAAGCAATGTGATGAGCAGAATCACAGCTTCCCAAAATATCGATATCATCCCTATCACCTCTGGATACATTACACATGGCACAGGGGAAGTATGATGGCAGGTAGACTTAAGGTTGCTAACCACTTGGCCTAAAGTAGGGAGAATATCCTGGGTTATGTGGAGAGCTACAGTGAAATCACAGAGTCCTTACATATGGAGGAGGGAAGCCAAAGCGTCCTAGGCAAAGAGCAACGTGAAGATGCAACACTGATACTGTCAAGACAGAAGCGAACAACCTGACAAGCAGAGACGCTCTCCAGTGCTGGAAAGGTTTCGGAAACAGTGTCCCCTGCAGCTCCCAGGACAAGTGCAGAACTGCCAACACTTGGATGGAGGCCCAGCGACAACTGTGGACTTCGACTTCCAGTGGGTAAAAAGCCAGGAGGCTTGTGGTTATTTATTACATCAGGAATAGGAAATCGACACACAAGGGAACCAACTGGTTATCAGCAAAACTAGAAATGGGAAAGAGCATTTATCCCACATTTCCAGTTCCATTTCAAGGCAACTAGACAACAGAGAAAAATTTGTTATCTTTATAGAAAAATTCTAGCTGATAAGGGAAGCAAGAATGATGGAGTTTCACCATTTCAAAAGTCCTAATAAAATCATGAATTTAATTAATGGCCATTAATCAAATGGCTGAAAGAACCTAGGTGGGGAAAGCTGATGGGAATTTCCTATCAGAGATCACAAGGATAACATCTCTGCTGACCACGTGGTCTTCCCAGTGTCCAATAATGCACAACACTACCAGTGGTATTCTTGCCAGAAATGTGGGGAAAAGAAACTGATTTAGCAGAACCAATCAAGGGAACTCGATCAGTCAAATTTACAACGCTGGAAATTCTACTGAGCAACAACTATAGTCTTCAACAAGGGAGAAAAGTAGGGAGAGTGGCAGAGGATGTAATCAAGTGGGAAAGTACCTGGCCAGCATGGCTGAAGCCCTAGTTCTGATTCCCAGTAATGAAGAAAAAAAAAAAGTCTCTTATATGCCTGTGGTGGTTTGTGTCATTCAAACATTGCTTGACTTGAAAGACTCATGTGTTTGAATGCTTAGCCCATAGGAAGTAGCACTATTAGGAGGTGTTGAAGTAGGTGTGGCCTTGTTGGAGGAAGTGTGTCATTACAGAGGCAGGCTTTGAGGTCTCCTATGCTCAGGTTATGCCTAGTGTGGCACACAGTCTCCTTCCACTGCCTGCAGACAAGATGTAGAACTCTCAGCTGCTTCTCCAGCACCAGGTCTGCCTGCATGCCGCCATGCTTCTCACCATAATGACAATGGACTAACCCTGTGAGCCAGCCCTAATTAAATGTTTTCTTTTATAAGAGTTGCCATGGTCATTGTTGCCGCTTCACAGCAATGAAAACCCTAACTGACGTCACAGGAGACCCAAGAGGCACAGCAAGCAAATGTAGTGCATGAACTCTAGCCCATTCTTTGAACAAGCCTACTGTAAAAATAGAGTAAAAAGCTGAGTATGGTGGCATACACACCTTTAATCCAAGCTCTAGGGAGGCAGAAGCAGGTGAATCTCTTGTGAGTTCGAGGCCAGCCTTGTCTACCTCATGAGCTCCAGGACAGGCAGGACTACATAGAGAAACCCTTTCTTAGATAGATAGATAGATAGATAGATAGATAGATAGATAGATAGATAGATAGATAGAAATAAAAATTTTTAAAAAAGAGGTGAGGGAGTAAGAGAGGAAAAAAGCAATTGAGAAAATACTGACTGAAATTACTTTTTATGCTTTTCAATATGGTAATTAAATTAATATTTTATTATAGAGAAAGTATTCTTATTTGTTGAAAAGTTTTTTTTTTTAAATAGGTGACAAAAAAATCAAAAGTTGAGCAAGAAAGACTCACATGTATTACCGAAGAGGTCTTGATGCCCATAGATTTATTTACAAGTACAGTCCTCCTGTCCTCCACACAGTCATTTGCTTCTATCTTATCAATTTTATCACTAGGTAACCTGGCTTTCCAGAGAAGATCAAGAGAAGTTTCTGAAGAAAAACTTCAGAGTGATAAGAAAAAGGTGTGGTGCCAATAGTGATTTGTCATCTGAAGCTCTGAAACCTAGTCAAGGTCACAGCTCCTTGGCGACTAGCAAACAGACCTTAAGAGGGAGAAGGAACAGTCATGCCGTTCTTTCATCTCAGGAACTAAATGCTGTTCTTAGCCTGGCATATTGCCATCTGGAAGTAAAACTAAATGTCTAAGTCTTCCTGACAAATGTCCACATGCTTAAAAGGTCTGGCCAGTGAATGACAGACAGTGTACTGGGTAGTCCTTGGAAAGACTAAGAGAGAGGTGACTCAGCTTAGAAGGTGACCTCAGGGGCCTCTCCTCCTAGTCTGTACCCATAAAGGAGTGAGACTCCCATTAGAGAAGACCTGATAGGCCGCTGGATAACGTCAGTCTTGCTCCCTAGGAGCTGAGAAGACAGTAGTAGCTTTGAAGAAAGGACTGGCATGCTCTTACAGTTTTAAAAAGGGTATTCACATTGTCACATGTGGGACAGACACTAGGAGGGCAGAGGCTGAAAGCACAGAGACCACTTAGGAAAGTAATACATCACTTCGGTGGCAGAAGATGATGGTTTGAACCAGTGTTAAAAGTGGTAACAGTGGAGCTGGAGAGATGGCTCAGCATTGTTCTTCCAAAGGATTCACATTGGGTTCCCAGCATCCATAGCAGAACATTAACAACAGATAACTCCAGCTCCAAGGGACCCAAAACCCTCTTCTGATGTTAGAGGGAACTTGCCCACATTTGTACAGACACAGAGACATACAGACATATATAAATAGATAAAAAACCAAGCTGAAGAGTAGTTACTAGCTAGCATGTAAAATGACTAACAATTCTGACCTGAACTGCAATGAGGTTGTTTTTACTGAATCAAGTAGCATTATTGTAGATCAGCCAATACACTTCCTTCCTAACTCCTGAGCAGAGGAAGCCGTATGTGGTACAATTCTCCAGTACCTTCTAGGAACAATGGAAAGCCACAAGGAGAAATGGCTACTATGAGCAAAAGGCTCCCAAACAATACAGCCAGTTAATCATTCTTTTTTCCCGTTATTTTTATCTACTCTGTTAGCAATGGCAATCTAAATTTTCTATAAGTGGAAAACATGAAAAAAAAACATTCATTTGGGTTTTTTGACTGTTTGTTTCTGTTTAAAACGAGCTCCTTGCATGTATCACCATGGACTTGAAGTGCACAGTGAAGTAAAGTCTTACCTGGTTTTACGGGGGATTTACACCACAGTGCCTGATGAGTGTGAAATGTTCGTAAAAAGCCTTTCTTCCCAGATAGACCCTTACAGGAGCCCAAGTTGCTAAGGAAAGGGCATGAGCAGCTGGTCACCACCGATTTCAGCAGATGTGCCATGTTGCTTTGAACTCCCAAGTTTCCAAATCCCCAGTTCCTCGAAGGTGAATTGCTAAAAAGAAAAGAAAATGTTTATATGTCAAGAAAAATGTACCTTGTCGTTTGAGTATAAAAAACCATATAAATTGTTCATCTCCAGGGTCTGCATCAGGAACACATTTGCCTACTGCCATCTTCAAAAACTTTACTTGTTAAGCCCCATACTTATACACAACACTTTAAAAATTTGTTTCCGATTCGGTATTTAAAATTTGAGATTCCCCTTTCCCCCCTCCCCCCCACACACAAAAAGCCAGGGCAGTGGATCCAGTTAATCCTAGCACTCAGGAGGTAGAGGCAGGTGGATCTCTGAATTCAAGGTCAGCCTGCTTTACAGGATGAGTTCCAGGACAGCCAGGGCTACACATAGAGAAACCATGTCTCAAACAAAACAAAACAAAAAACCTTGAAAGTTATTTCTATCTAAAGTTGGGATTAAAAATTCACCATTTGTTTCCAGGCCTGACTCACACAAGTGTGTGTGTGTGTGTGTGTGCAGCTGGAGAGCTGGAGAGTTTGTATATGCAGAACTATAGAGCTAAGCCACATCTTACACTAAAGTTATCTTGTAAATCAACATATTTGCAAAAAAGGTACATGTAATATTTGAATTTCCCTTATTATCTTAAATATATATATGTGTATATATATATATATATATAGGCACTAGATCATACAAAACACATTGCTATCCTATCCGATGCAGTAAAATGCTTAGCTCTGAGATTTATGTTTACTTCTCAAGAAAATAAATATGCAGGGGATAATAAAGGAAGGAAGGAAAGAAGGAAGGAAGGAAGGAAGGAAGGAAGGAAGGAAGGAAGGAAGGAAGGAAGGAAGGAAGGCCCCATAATATCTTTATTACTTCAGTCTGTGCTTACAGCCATGGGTATAACTATGAACTCTTTTGAAGTGGTTCTCAACAGTGGCCAGTGTTATATGAAAGTGTTTTATAATAGTTTATTTTACCAAAATGTGGCCACTTGTTACCAATTGTAACAGGGCAGAGTGAAGTATCACTTTGCTGTCAGCTACCTTTGCTTTGCCATCTTTGGCAAATCCCGGGGGATGCCCAGCAGGCACTCCTACATTCCCTTCTTCCTCTACATTTCTTTGCTTGAGAACAGAATGAAGCAGAGGGTCTGAAGTCTATCAGTGAATCCCGGCTAACATTACCCACTATGCCTGTAAATCCTGGCCCATGACATGGACTATCACAGGGCCAAGCATATAGCAAAGTGGGTTCCACAACCTGGTCCAGGCACCCGAAAAGTGTTTAGCTGATTTTAAATCTCAGAGCTGCTACCACAACTTCCTAAATAAACTTCTTTACAACACTGGGAAGGAACACTGGTGATAGAAATTAGCATTTGAATTTCCATTAAGTTATCTAAAAAACATTGTCAGGCACTAGGTCATTCAAAACACATTACTAGCCTAAGTGCTGTAGTTGCTTATTAATTAGATGCCCTTTAACTCAGCAAATGTAGCCAAAGGACAATCTGAGAGGCCCTTTCTCTCTTTGGGTCGTCCCAGCTCCCTGCAACCACTGTTCTGAGTGAGTTGGCAAAGATTGCTCAGACCTCCTCAGCAAATAAATGAAACTGGGCCTAATGGAGCCCTGCATTGCCCAAGTCTGCCATGTCCTGATTGTTTAATCAGAACTACTCTGAGCCTCAGTTCACTAACCTATAGCAGGGTTAGAAAACAGCAGCTTGCTCAGATCCTTCTGTCCTGCCTACTTGGAAAATAATAGTTTGATGTTCAACAGCTAGATCCCTAATGGGGCACCATATATGATCCCAATCTATAACTAAAAATAAATAAATAAATAAACACTTTATTCAGGCTTTAAACACATGCATCAAAGGTCAGGAGGTCATTTACTGGCAGAAGAGTCTACCACACTTGCCATAATTTAAATATAATGGTTCTGAAAGGTATTAAGAAAACATCTGAACCATTAGCTAGTCCATGTTTACTCCAAAAGAGCCAAATTTTCCCCCTTTTCTCCACTTCAGAATTCTCTATTATCTGATCTTCCTTGCACTTCTCAAGCCTTGAATCAATAATGGGATAATAATTTGCAACTCAAAGTTTAAAAAAATAAAATGCGTGTTTTAGCATGGCATTTGTGGAGCTGCTTAATATAAATTATAAGTGCCTCAACTGAGCGGTGCTGGTGCATGCCTTTACATCCCAGCACTCAGGCATAGGCAGAGGGACTCTCTGAGTTCAAGGCCAGCCTAGTTCACAGAGTGAGTTCCAGGACAGTAGGCTACACAAGAGAATGCTGGGGATTGGGGGAAGAGTAAATGCTCCCCAGAGACTGGTCTGTGTGGTGCTGAGGACAGGCCCCACATCCATATATTCCTGGGAGAGCATGCCACCACTTCCCCAAAGGTTAAACCCTCAAACCCTCTAGAGCAGAGGAGCCGTTCTCAATCTGTGGGTCACAACCCCTCTGGAGGCTGAATGACCCTTTCACAAAAATACCATATCAGATATCCTGCATACCAGACATTTGCATTGCCATTCATAACAGTAACAAAGTTACAGTTAAGAGGTAGCAGGAAAATAATGTTACGGTGTTACGGCTGGGGAACACCACAACATGAGGCGCTGTAGTTGGGAGGGTTGAGAACCAGTGCTCTAGAGTCTGGGGCAAGCACCTGACCTAGCAAAAGAGGACAGCAGAAAGGCTGACTAGGAACTCTGGACTGGAAGAAATTTATGATAGGTGTAGCCTCAAATCACCCTGCTTCTCTGTACCTGATTGCCTCATCTTTAAGTTCAGAACAAAAGTAAAACCTACCTCATTGAGCTGCAAGGATTAAAGTAGCAAAATGCCCTGATCATCAGGTTGTAGAGAGGATTAAGAGATCCTGGCAGGTTGCTCCATTCACTTTGTTATTATTCCTGGCCAGTGTTTTACACTAGACACAGTAAGTCAACTAATATTTTTGGACTGAATGTTTAAATGACTAGGGCTGGGTAGCCTGATGCCATTCAGCAATGAATTTCTGAAACAGTTTCAGAACTTTTTCTTTGAAAACAAAATTTCTGTGTAGCCTTGTGGAAAACTGATCCTATCAGCAGATAAGCTGTTTGCTGATACTAGAATAATTCTAAACTGCCCCTTCCATAAACAAAAAAAAAAAAAAGAAAGAAAGAAAACAGTTACAGATGCCAGCATTGCACAAGTTACGGCAAGAGGAACACAAGTTCAAAGCCACCCGTGCTACGCATAGAGTTTCAGGCCAGTCAAGGTCAAAGACCGAGATCTTCTTCGTCTCCAAACAGAAAAATATAATGAGCATAATAAAATAAGAAAGGAAAAATAGCCAACATTTGCCCAAAAAAGAGGGTGCAGTGGGCAAGGAAGCCCCATCCCTCCAGACAAAGTTCCCTGAGGACCGCGCACCGCCACAGGTCGAATAAGGGCACCAGCGGGCGTAAACACAGTTACGCTCTCAAAGGCTAAGCATACCAACAAGGACACAATACCCTATCCTGCAGGCAGCATGACCTCCCCCGGAGCCACTGGTGCCGTGGCCCTGCCACAGGTGCTGCCCCTCCCTCAGCAACTAAACTGCCACCCACTGGCACGTGCAACCAGACCACTATTTATAACCTCCTGTGGAAGCCCATTGGCTCTGGCTGCACAGCAGTCACTGTGCCTCTCAGGTTTGAACCAGCTCTGCCCAGGCCTACATCCCCACCCCACCCTCCTGCCCCACCAATCCAAACCCTTCTCCCAGTCCTTAGAGAAGTGAACGTGGCACCCCTTACCCGTCAGCCCCGACCTACACGCCCATCTTTTCCTTTTCACCCAACTGAGCACCCTGCCTGAACACTCTGAAGTGTCCAAGTGCAACTTAGAAGCGGCCCGCTCCCCTCCTAGGCACACCGCACTTCAAAGTCCTCCATGACCTCTTTTCCGATCCCGCTTAAGGCCAAAACGACGACAGCGCAACTTTTGCCGTCCTTGCCCCAACCCCCACCCCAGGGTCCAAGACCCGCACCTGCACAGCTGTCACCTCGCTCCTCGGACCCCGTTCCCACATCCACTCCCTTCCACGTCACCCCAATCGAACACACACACAAATGCGCCCCCACCTCCGGGCACCCACCGTATTCCTTCTCCGCCTGTCTCCTGCAGGAGCCTCGGCACCCCATTTGCTAGACACTGCGGACCCCGCCCCCTCTGCACCCTAACGGGCCCCCGCGGCAGGGGGACCAGGGGCCCGAGCTCGGCTGCCGCTCTTCCAGCAGCCCCCAGCCCGCAGGGCCGGCTGACTCACCTGGGCCGGCACGGGGCAGCAGGCGACCCCGCGCCGCGAGCAAACGCCACGCCGCGCTGGCAGACCCGGCCCGGCCCGCGGCGCTGCGCCTCCAACCCGGAAGAACAGCCCCAGCCCAGAGGCGACGGCGACGACCACGTGACACCCGCTGCCCCCACCCGGACCCGCGCCCCTCTTCGGCACCCCTCACGCCCTGCCTTCTGCCAAGCCCGCTTCGCCCGATCCCCAGCCCTGTCTGCAAAGGAGAAAGAGACTCCACCTAATGCACCCCTAGCGCGCAGCAGCTGGTCCCCGACGACGGTCCTCCGTCTCGGGGTGACCGCTGAAGCCCCTTTGTCTCTACCCGGCCCCGAGGCCCGCAGCTCCGCCCTCTTGCTCTTGCTCAATCAGTTTCTGTCAATCAAACCTCGTGCCAAGCTCTGCAAAGTTTTTAGGAATTCATTCCTCTGCTTCACCCTGGAGACTAAGTTACAAACCATGATTTCCTCACCGGTGTCCCAGAAGAACATATGAACGGCTGCTGTAACTTCTCTGTGCCGGACTTTCGTCTCTCTAGGAAAAAAAAATCCAAACTTCTGTAACTGGAGAGGACCTAAGCGGGAAGAAGCCGAGGGCGGGAATGGGGGCGTTGTTTTTCCATTCTGGACAGGAGGTGGGGTCAAATTCCTCAGGGACGAAGTCAAGGCCTGAAAATGAACACACGTGTGCGTATTTGGCTTCCAACAGCGAAGCCAGCCAAGAGGAAACCTGTGTTACTGTTAACATAGGCAGCGTCTGGAATGTACCCTGTAGTGGAAGTTCCTGATTAAGGAAATTCAAAACATAATGACCTAGTTAATGGTTAGGTTCTGTTATTTGCTCCGCAGGTGCTTTCTGATTAAACTTACCCAACGCTGAATCGAAAGGAAATGTCACTGTAAAATTGGTGGTGGTGGTGTCTTTTGTTTTGTTTTTAACTTAACTGAAATAGTTATTTAATAGGCAGAAGGGAAAAAAAGACAGGTATTCGGTATCTTTTAAGAAATAACCACAGAGAAAGTCCTGCATTTATGCAGCAAGAAGGGCCCTTGGGCTAACTGGCTCCCCAGTGCAAAGGAAACTCTACCGGTGGTGGAAGAACTAGAAGGCAAGAGAGGACTCAGCCCGGTGTTTGAAAATAATGACCGTAAGTCATCAGGTAGTGACACTGTGGGTACAATGAGTCAGGTACGTAGCGATTTTAAACTCTCCTTCTGTGCTGTAGTTCAGTGTGGTAGGGTGTTCGAACACGAGGCTCTTCTAAAACCGGCAAGGCATCTGTCTTCACACTATTTTATCTTTTCAATTGCTTTCTTTCTTAGTGTTCGTTCGCTTGTTTGTTTTAAATACCCCCTCCCTTCATTCTGATTAACACTCCCCTGCCCTGCTCCTTCCTCCGTCCCCCTATCTCTCTCTTGGAACTGTTCCACAAGCAACATTTCCCCTTCGTTTTAAAAAATGTTCTGTCATCCCTCCTCCTTTATGGGAACTCCCCACCCTACTGGCCCTTTTCTAGTTTCCTGGCTTCCTGAGGTACTCTAAATTAAACACACAGAACTAGTGGATTGAGTTTACCTTGCTCGGTACAATATTTCCACTTTCACCCATTTAACCAAAATTTTTTAATTTCACTTTCCTTAGTAGCTGAATAAAATTACATTCTGTTCATGCACCACATTTTCATTATCCACTCATTAGTAGGTGTACATCTAGGCTGACTCCACTTTCTAGCTATTGTGTACGGTTTGGCAATGAACACGGGCGAGCAAGTGTCCCTGTAGGCGGGATATATAGATTCTTTATTGTCTTTGCCAGTGTTCTATTGCTGTGAACAAATACCACGACCATGCACCCTTTATGAAAGAAACCACTTAATTGGGGCTGGCTTACAGTTCCAGAGGTTTAGTCCATCATCATGATGGGGAGCATGGTGGCATACAGGCAGGAGTAGCTGAGATTTACATCCAGATCCGCAGGCATCAGGAAGAGCCAAGCACTGGGCCTGGTTTGAGCTTTTGAACACCTAAAGGTCACTCCCAGTGACACACTCTCTCCAAGGCCAAACCTACTCCAAGAAGGCCACGCCTCCTAATCCCTCTCAAGTAGTGCCACTCCCAAACAGCCAGGCATTCAAATATGAGAGCCAATGGAGACCATTTCTATTCAAACCATCATGCTTAAGATATAAGGCCGGAGTGGTGTGACTGGGTCATATTCCTAGGTTTTTGTTTTGTTTGTTTGTTTTTGAGGACTCTCCAGACTGATTTCCAAAGCGGCTGTCCTTGTCTATGGCTCCATCAGTAGTATACAAGGGTTCCCCTTTCCCTACATCCACGTCAGCATTTGTTATCATTAGATACACATAAAATTTAACTCGTATGAAATTTAGGAGACTTTAATTTAGGAGACTTCTAGAAAAATGTATCAGAGTCAACAACTGTAACAAAACATTACCATCATCTTTAAAACCTAAAAACCAAAAAGGTACCTAATACTCAAAAATACCAGTGTAAACTGAAGCTGAGAAGATGTGCTATTAAACACTGAACTCTAAGCCCAGTCTGGGATACATAAGACTCTGCCTGAAAAAAGCTAATTTGAAATAAATAAATAATGAACTCCAGCGATGGCTTGTTACCATCTAGTTAAAACCTGCCATCTAGTTAAAGCCAGGCCAGAAAATAGCTAGTTTAATATTTTTCCATCACAGTTATTATGTTTTATCAGCAGTTTAAATTTCAAGCTTTCCTTTTATGAACATAGCAGTTAACTGAGTGGGCAAGATTCATGCCTGTAATCCCAGCACTTGGGAGGTGGAGGCAAACCAGTTGCCCTGAATTCAACATTAGCTTGGGCTACGTAGTTGAGTACTGGGCCAGTCAGCAAGGAAAAAAAAAAAAAAAGACAGTGATTATTATTCTTGGCTAATTGAAAGGCTCCATGAGATAAGAATCTTAGTTGGTAATATCTAACAATCATGCACTTGGCAGGTCTTAAAAAACCAAGCAGAGCTGCCTAGTTGTATCAAAATTTTCTAGTCACTGCATAAAAGAAATGCCTAAAAGTTGCCGTATCGCTTTCTGAAAACAAATTGCTATATATTTCATGTAAAAGTTGTCATACTAAATAGAACAAACTTTGGAACCTCCTTTTCACTTGTAGATTAAGTGGTGAGTAGTTAATTTGTCATTTGAATCCTAACATTATGTAACTTAACTATGTTGGGGTGATTTTGGAATGTTTCCCTAATGTCATTTTAGTTTGTTCTATTTCCTGACTCCGTCCTGTAAACAACAACGACAACAAATGGCAATGACACTTTAATCAGATTTTTTTTTTCTCTTTGGTTTATGCCTATCCTGTTCTTTTTTCTGATATCCTATTAAATGTATAAAAATGTAAAAAAAAAAAAAAAAAAAAAACCATCATTAAGGAGTGTGGCTCAAAGGCAAAGCACTTGCCAAAAGAGGCAAAATGTCGGGATTAACTCAGTCTTAGGGTGGCCAATCAAGAGTGTTTGATCTCGGGAAATAAATATATTAATGAGCTAAGTGAACCGATGCTAGTCAATATTAATTGGAAGGAAACTGACACCAAATAGGTGGCATAACGTCAACTGACAATTTGATGTGTTTAAGTAAATGTGCCTGCACTGGGGAGTACTCTGAGCATCTAACTTGCTGTTGGCATCACTCCTGGGCGAGCTGAGCTGCCCAGGAGACCAGCCAGATCAACCTAGCATGGCTGTGCCTCTTAAAATATAACACTAGCTTAGCATACTCATGTGGTAAGTGCTAATTGTAAAACCTTTATCAATATAGGGACCTGAGAAAACAATAAAGGCTAGAGAGTCCATTAGTACCATGAGGGAGCTCAAGGTAGGCCACCCCAAGATACTTCTAACATATTTAAAGACTGTTCTTCAGAGAGACTGTAGACAGAAGAGTAATAGAAAAGCTGGCCTCTGGGGCTAGTTTGAGTCTGTAGTCAGAGTAGACAGTGGATGACATGTGGGCAGGCTTTCGCTGAGCACCTTACACCAAGCACAGACCTTTTCATAGGAGGAAGAAATTGAGGACCTGATTCTGGTCCAGATATTGACAAATGCGGCTTTCTGGAGACAAGTTTGCTATCTTAGAAGCTTTATCAACCTGATAACATGACCTTTAGTTGCATTAAAGCTCAACCTTTAATGAGCTAAGGTACATTTTCTGCCTTAGCTCAAAATGCTACGTAAGCTTTGATTCTCCTACCTTCCTTCAAGAACAATGCCTTTAAAAGGCAAAGAGCCCTCAACCTGGGCATAGTAACTCACATCTGAAATCCTAGCTGCTGCAGCAGAAGAGCTCCCATGAGTTCAAGGACAGCCTGGGACTACATACTGAGTTCCAGGCCAGCCTGAATGACAGCAAAAAAGCTTGTCTCAAAAAAAAAAAAAAAAAAAAAAAGGTAGGTGAGAGACTAAACTTATAGTTCCATATGGCACAGCATTTATTCCACGGCAATAAGAATTTGTTCTCTTCCCAAAACTAAACATAAAAGTTGGTAGTAATTTAATCTAAATGTTCCTTGTGAATAGTGAATGGCTAAGTGGACTGTCAGCTTGGAGTTGTACACGGCTACCATGAAATATTACTGAACAAAGAAAAGGAAAACAACACATACAACCTGGATGAATTTCAGTTATGCTGAAAGAAAGCCAATTTCAAAGAAATTTCATTTATGCAACATTTTTTTAAAAACACAAAAACAATCTATTCTGAAAATTCAGAATAGATTCATGGCTGCCGGGGTTTTAAAGAAAGGGGGTGAGTATGCAAAAAGCAGAGGTGGCTGTAAATCAGTAATCAAGGAGTTCCTGTGGAAACAGATGCCCTGCAATTTCACTGGACCAATGACAGGCAATGCATGAGCATGAAGCTGTCCTATAACTTTGCTGACAATGACAGAGACCTGGAAATAAATACAAAGGTTTCTCCCTGTCCCCCCCCCCCCACACACACACACGCACCACCACCCCCCGTCTCTGTCGGTCTGTCTATGTAGCTAGCATATCTCTCAATGTAGAGAGAACCTCTTGCCTACTGTGTGAGAGCATCATCTGTCAGTAAGTAGCTGACGGCCAATTAGCTGGGGCAGGAAACAAGAGGTGGGAGTTCCGGGAGAAAGATAGTCAGAGGCAAGAGATTCAACCGAGACTGAGGAAGATGGATGTATGGCACTGAGAAGAGGTAACCAGCCATGCAGCACCCACCAAATAGAATAAATTTATAATGTAAGTTATGAGCTAGTCGGGAAATGAGCCAAAGCTTATGGCCTGGGCATTTATTCATAAATAATAAAGTCTCAGGATCACTATTTGGAGAACTGGGGCACAGGTGGGGAAAACCCAAGGTTCTCTGTCTTTGTCTCTGTCTCTGTCTCTGTCTCTGTCTCTGTCTCTCTCTCTCTCTCTCTTTCTGGCTTTTCCAGATAGGTTTGCCCTATGTAACCCAGGCTGTCCTGGAACTCACTTTGTAGATAAGGCTGGCCTCGAACTCACAGATCTGCTTACCTCTGCCTCCAGGTGCTGGGATTAAAGGCAGGTGTCACCACCTCATAGCCAGAGGTTTTCTCTTTTAAACTGCACAACTGAGTGGGAAGCTATACTTACCTTAAAATAAAATGTTTAAAAAGCTAAACCTGGAAGGTATAGTTAAA